TGTAGTATAGTACATGGACCTAGTGTTTTTAAACACTAGGTCCACGTACTATCCCAGATTTAATGAAACACTAGGTCCACGTACTATCCCAGATTTAATGAAACACTAGGTCCACGTACTATCCCAGATTTAATTAACATGATTATCAACATCTTGCTTCTAACATGATTTTTCCTTCTCATTCACTGATTTTATTCCGATAACTAACATTATTTCTAACTTTATAGCATTCTGTTCTGCGAGTCTTTTTTAAGAGATAGGAGTTTCAGAATCATGGGACAGTTGTGGGAAAAATGTCCCTACTGGTTACAACAATTGTTGATAATCTTATTGTAACAAATGCATTTAACATCTAAAACTTATCTATCTTATGAGTTTTAGCAGTTCTTTCTTAACTAAGCATTTCTGAACAGAGAATTGTGAGTAACAGAATTATCACTTTACATACTGATCTTTTCTTTCAGAGAAAACTTTGAAATACGTCAGTGTAATATATATATAAGATAAGAAAAAATTAAACTGAATTAAAACTGTGAATTTTATTGTTAGTGTCTTCTCGTGAATAAATTTATTGGGCAAAGTTAGTGTGCTTGGAGTCAGGACATTTAATAAATGTTAATATTTTAACATCAACATGAATTGTGCATTGTACCATTGTTCATGAAATAATTATAACATTTTGAAATTCAAGTGATTTTTCACACAAAAAAAATGAAATTATGTTAGATGGTACATAGTTTGGAATAAACAAGTGAAAATATGAATTAAGCAGTACTCACCGATCTGAAAATCATGTGTAGAGGCATCGAGATGTTGAAGTTCAGTGCATAATTATTTGCTACACTGACGAGAAAAAACATGACAACAAGAGATGCATAGTAGCTGAAAATGAAGTTACAGTTAATTAATACCCAGTTGTAATTTATTAATAAATAATTAATATCTTTTTAAAACATAAAAATCTACAGAAATATGACTGACAAATGTATTTATTAAACCACGTTCAATGTATAGCACAGTATACTGCAGCAGGAATTGTCTTTCCATAGGATAGAGGGAAGCTCCCACCACCCTTGATTTTTGCAGATTTGTGGGTTTTATTTCTAGACAATAACATTTGGTTTGAGAAAAAAACCTAGCTTTCTTTAAGACAGTGCCATTTTAAATATACTTGTGAAAAAAAAAAATCCTAGGGAATACGACCACACTATCACACCTTAGGAACTCAAATACCTCATTCTACACCAAAGACACCCCACCATCTTCCAATAAAAAATTCTGAAAGAAAACACATGATATTGGTTAATCAAGTTTAGATACATTGTAGGAAGTAAAAAATAGTCAAAATATGCTATTCAAGGATTAAATTTACATTCTAAGGCAAGATTAATGTTCAAATTAATTTATAGCATACATTCTGTTTCCTGTTTTTCATTATCATACCTGAAACATTTCTGTATCAATTTTGATTAGCAGGTTCAAATAATTAACTCAATCTATACTCACAGTACTTACTCTGTGAAACTGATAAACTATTAAAAATACACAAAAAAAGATTGAAAAAATGATTTGTATTTGAATAGGAATCTGTAACATAGAAACTGAGAAAGATAACACTGATATCTGGTTTACATTTAATAAATACCTTACAGTGGACCTGAACTTTGAAATTTCCATTAACCCTAAATTCACAGTTGGGGGCAAAGAGTGCATGCCATGACGTTTTACACAGTGCTATTCAACACAATATCATGTATTTGATGTCACAGTTGTCAACTATTCATTTTACACTTCATTGTTGATTTAGCAAAGGTTCACTGTAGAGGAGTAAATATAGGGATACTGAAAAAAAATCACATATAAATTTTAAAGATTCTAGAAGCTATGCAAAAACAATATGCAAACTTTATGAAGGATAAAAAGAATTTTATTCTTCACACGAAACTCACTTTCCACTCTGACTCATCCGAATGCTGTCATCAATTCACAGACAAATCCTAAATACGAAGACTTTCGTAGCACATCCAGTTTGTGTACAACAGACTCGTACATTTTACTAAAAGCCACAGTTTCTGTAGATATAAGTAATAACTTAATATCTCTTCTTTCATACGAAGTAACGACTGACTGCACATTCAGTTAAACTCAAATGAAGTCTTCAAACACGAAACTAGTTTGTGTACAACAGACTCGTACATTTTACTAAAAGCCACAGTTTCTGTAGATATAAGTAATAACTTAATATCTCTTCTTTCATACGAAGTAACGACTGACTGCACATTCAGTTAAACTAAAATGAAGTCTTCAAACACGAAACTATCTTCCTGTTGGTAATCTACCACCCTTAACAACATATTATTCCTTTCCTTTTGTAGAGACATAAAATCATTTCAAACTTACTAAAATAATATATGTTGTTTCGTGTTTTATTTATACATATTTATTTATTTGGTGACATCTGTCCTTCATGATTTTTGGTGAAATTGATTTGACAAAAGTTATTAATAATTATTTTCATAACTCATACAAGTAAGATAAGTGAACAAGAAAAAATCTGAAAAATTACACATATCACAAATATAAACACAAATACCAAACATATCCTGACATATGTGTGTTTTTAAGAGTTTTGGATTTTATCAAATACCCAAGTAACCAATTGCATCACTTAATACCAAACACAAAGGACCAAATTTTCCAAAATATACTGACAACTAATTGTAGATATTCAACACATTTACTTTGGTTTGTGTTTGGAGAAAAACAATATGTATACTTTAGGTACATACCTCAGAGGAATGACAGCTTTCTTTCTACCAAACTTGGTGGAAAAAATAAATCCTTCCACAGCTATTACCAAAAACTGTGCAAATGTAATTATATTTCCACTTCCAGGTGCCTCACTGTAAGATTATAAATAGCTTTAAAATATCACGGTAGTAAAATTATTTGAAACTTTTAGAAGAAAACATGAAATATTTATAAACATTGAAAATTTCCAAAATCTGTAATCCTAAAAAATAAATTTGATCAAATTTTTTTGCCATTTTCTAGTTTCTTATATATGTTATTCATACATCAAAATAATTTAACCTAACTTATATTTTTCCAAATTACGAAATTAAAAAGTTTCAAGTATATTTTTACCGATAAAAAATAAATTTGATCAACTTTTTGTCATTTTCTAGTTTCTTATTTATGTTATTCATACATCAAAATAATCTAACCTAACTTATATTTTTCCAAATTACGAAATTAAAAAGTTTCAAGTATATTTTTACCGATAAAAAATATAAATGCTGAACACTTCAAAAGCATTCTCCGACTATTTCCAAATTAAATCTACAAAAAGTGTTTGGATATATCATAGGAATTTTGAGTATTTGTTTCTCTGAATCCAATTCCGCCCATAAAAAGTACCACTGGCATCATATAAAGGAACATCAACTACAATATTAATAAATTAAATTATACAGTTTCAAGAAAAGCCCTTAATGTTACATGCATCAGAAATTTTTTTAATTGATATTATGATCATGCTTCTTAGTTGCTATTTATGTCTCAAAACTTTGATTAATCAGCATTTAGCTAAATTACAAGAGATTTTCATCATCTGAGAAACTAGATTTGTATTCCAAAATTTGGGCCCCCTAATCACTGAGGGATTTTGTTAAGAGGATTGAAAGCTCACAATAAAATACAAGTTTTAAACATTGTGAAAGCTCCAAGATAATTAAGTTAAATGATATATTCAACTGCTATCTTTTAATTTCAAATTTATATTTTTTTATTAAGTTGTTTTAAATCAACATATATTTGTATAGAAACACTGTCCTGTAATTATTTGTAATTGGTTTCTTGTTTGTGTTGTTTTGTAACAATTGATACTGACTTCTGATCAAAGCAAGCTATCTACTTAAATCATAATTAAAAATTAACCTGGTAATAAGTATAGCTAATTGAGTACTGTTCTTATGCTCTTACTTATAAGGAACAGAATACATTGTTTTATCAGTAGGTGTTTGTTACAGTTAACAATATTTTCAGCTATAATCCCAATATCTCATGAAGTTCAGTTAAATACTATGCCATCAATACGAAACAATCTATATAATATAAATAAATTAATAAAAAAATTACAAACAGAAATATTAAACATTTTACTAATAAAGTTAATGAAAATAACATGAAAAAATTAATAGAATATACAATACTTAATGAAACACTAGGTCCACGTACTATACCATACTTATGAAACACAGAAATGCTATGTCCACGTACTATCCCAGATTTAAGCGATAGTTAGACACACGTCTGAGCTACCATGAACAAAAAGAAATAATAAATTAGTGTGGACTAAACTTCATCATTTTACTTCAATGTTAAGATTCTGCTGATAATTTACAACCATAATGGAAAAAATCTGGATTTAAAGTGAAAAAAAAAAACTTTTAGCAATTTATACAACAAGTAACCTAGTATTTTTGGAACACCACCATCAATGCTTGAATCAAGTCTATACAATTAAAGGCATTTTATAATTTAAAAGTGAAATTCATAACATTTTTAGGGGAAAAACAGTACTGTTCCATGGTTGAAAACAGGGTGGGAATTGTACTACCATTGATACATATACCATGTTTGTGGGACTAGCAGTTTTAGGCACATGCAACCCATGTGATTGCATGTTTGAATCAATCTCGTAACACATTAAAACTAACCCTGTAGAAAATCTAAACATCAAATTACCCGATGAGTCCTGCCTAAAAAGAAAGTACCTGTAGCCTTCTTTAGAGTATTTTTATAAACTCTTATAAAACGTAATTTTATATTTGAAAAGAAACGATCATATCTTGAGTGTGGACTAAACTTTATTCTATCTAATATATTCTTTCTCTTTGTTCATGGTAGCTCAGACGTGTGTCTAACT